TTTAGAACATCTTACTCGTTAATGTTTTTTTGAATACAGCCAAGGTGCTGATATTATTTATGATTCGGACTGTTCAGAGGATGCAAAGTTAAGTTTTATTTTAAATGATTATTATTAGGGAATTCTTCAAGGTCACTGGTTGAGAGGAATCAGGAAACAAGTTTGTCAACTCAACACCACAGTTCTGCAGGTTGGACTTGATTCTCGTCGTTAATGAGATGTTAACAATTTCTCCAGGAGCCTTCAAGTCTTCTCTTATTTCCCTCCTATTATGATATTTTGTTGATTGGTCTTAAGAGAGAATTAGGGTATGCAAGGAAGACTTACTATTCTTGCCAGTTTCTTCTTTTCTAGCCTACAAAATGGGTGTCTTTTGTGTTTTTAGGCCAGCGGAGATCAGGGCGCAAACGAGGAGAGTGGGAATCGCGCGTGGGAGTAGCGACTTCCTCTACTCACTTGTAACTCGCGATTCGTGCTCTCCTAGCTGATGTGATATGGTGCTAAACCAGCTCCAGCTACACGTCTCCACAGCACCAATGTTTTACAAAGATTTGTAGCGATTAGAAATGTTAAGAATTTTCATCGATTGGTAAAAGGAATATGAAAAACAATATCCATCACGTATTGTAAAGTAATGTCATTAATCAGAAACTGATCCTTGCTAAAATCTCTGATTTAGCGGAGTACCTTGCATCAAGATCGTGGAGGGGACTAGAACAGAGGCTTGGTGAAACTCCTGTTACACAAGCAGTGGAAGGAAGGACGGGCATTGCAGCGGGGTACTTACATGAGAAGGGCCAAGATCAAGGCAGTCAGAAGGAACCCGTCCTGTGACTGACCAGTCCTTAAAGTACAAACCTATTAGGACACTATTCGCTTCTGTTCGTGACGATTACCAGCTTCTTCATCCGGAATGTGGAGCAAAAATCATATTATATTCTAATCACCTTGAAACGATTATAAAATATTGTGTAACTAATCTTAATAAACACAAACACAGCATCAGGAGCGGGTATCTTGTTTATTGATGCAGGATATAGCGAGCGTTACATCATAAAGAAAATACAGTAATGAATGAACACATTGTTTTAAGTGATTAAAGTTTTTTTTAAAATTATCATCATTATTATTATTACTATTATTGTAAGTATAATTATAATTATCGATACAAGTTGCAAGTGCGACAAATGTTCTTGGAAAAAAGAATTCAGCATCTTGTGATGATCGTCGGTCTACCCAATTTGTAACAAAATCTCAACTTTGCCGCAAAACATGCAGTGCTTGGTAAAAGCAATGCAAACGAATATCGTCAAATATCGCGCTTTGTTCTTCTGATATGTCGGTGAGATCGGTGAGGGAAACCACGAATACACACCCTGTAAAATAATGCTGCGTTGCAAGATTCAAGAAACATATTTCAATTTGCTGCAGGATGTTTGTACTGCGGCACCATATAATAACGACGCATTTTACGATAATCTATGCATAATTACAATGGTTGCGGCACTTGATAAATAAACCCTTCAGGCGGCTGGTTCGTTAGCTTATAATGTCCGCAGCTGAGAATTGTTCGAAAAATGAATATTTGGCCGAGAAGCGAAGCTTCGAGGGCAAATGAGAGATTTATTTATTATCAAACCTTATATTTATTTTCGTAACGTGCGTTGAAAGCAAATTTTTTCATAAATGTAATTGACTTTTTTTTATACTCTCCTTAGCTGCGTATGAGAACATATTTTTAATGTCAAAAGTAGTTCTTTTGTCTTCATGTAAAGTAATAAAGATGAAAAAGTGAAACTATTGAGCTGGCTTTATTCCGTTGGCTTAGTTTCTTTTCGACGGAAATAATTGGAGGACGAATTTCGGCGTAGACGGAGGTTATTGCGTGATAACCATCCGGTGATTTTGCAACAAGCAACGTAAATAGAACCGCGCGAAAATTAGTGGGTGGGTTATAGCTTGTACTAGCTTGTTGAAAAGTGCGACATGCGGAACACTGAGAACTCGACGATAACCTCCACTGGGCGGGAAAATATAATGTTTTTCAGTGGACGTTATTTGATTCTAGAGGTGACGGTTTCCGAAAGAGAAGCTCGAGGAAATCTTTGTGACCCTTTGTGCCTCTAGGAACGGAGGATAAAGTCCAATGCAAATGTACAAGTCTAATAACTTAATATTTATTTAGCACACAGGACGAAAGCGTTTACAAACAGGATGTTCGCTTTAAAACGTTCCCTTGAGCGACTTCTCTAAAATTTCTCTCTTCCTTCCTGCTATTTGCAGAAAGCTTTCCCATCTCAATTTAGACTTGAGACAAATCTCAAAATTTTCCTTGAGCTGTCCGAAGACTGTTCGCGCACAAATCATGATTCGAGCCGAAACTCTTTTGCTAGATGGAGGCTGTATTGTCGCACCTGACAATTTTGGTTGGTTATGTCGCCGTAGAGGTGTAAATTGAAATGCGACCACCTGTTTACTGACACCGGCTTGGGATTCTAGTCTGACAATGCGCTAATAGTCCTTTGACACAGTTGAAGGTTAAGTTTCCTTAGATAGAATTCTACTAATAGTTTAATTGAACCTGGAGTACAAAAGTTCTGAGTTATACACACTTATTACAAGGTTTTTACTCTCAAGAGTCATTCGTAATATTAAGAAAAAATTTGTAATAACGTCTTCTTTTTGTTAAGGTTTTAATATATATGTTGGTTTTTACATTATACGTGACCGAGAGAAATGCTTTTTATTTTAAAGTATGAAAATTTAAGGCGACGGAATAATAGTAGAAATCAAATTCTGTTTTAGTTATAAAGAGTTATAACATCGCCCTATAAAGGTGCAAAACTGCAACAAACAGTAGGGTGAGAGAGTTCAGTTTTTTCGTTAAATTTAGACTTTAGTTATATGTTATTATATAGTGTGTTTCCCTGAAAAATCTTCGTCTACAATTTTGTATCCAGAACGTCCACAAAATCGTTGGATAATACTGAGAAGATTGAGAAAGCCCTGTCTCTTCCAACACTAACATACGTATCTCCACGCATTGTTTTTCTTTTGTAGAAATTTGCGATGAGTGCTTGTCTGAACTCGTGAATTCTTACAAAATACGTTACCGGATTTACAAAGCAACTTGAAATATTAAAAAACACTGCCGTAAAATAAATGTTCTTATTCACAGAATAATTAACAGTTTGGAAGATGTTTAAAATAATTATTGGGAGCCACGACAGCAAAGCAAGCAGCGATATCAACAACAATGTCTTCGTCAACTGTCTTTTCTGTGATGATCTCGCATTCTGAGTAAAACGTCTTTTCTGGAACTTTCTCCAAACACCGATGTTACAACCACATATTATGGTTATCAAACTGGCGGTGAATTGCACCCAGAGCCAGGAATAAGCTTCTCTAGACACCAAAATCCTTAGTAGAGAAAGAATTGCTGTACTTAGGAGAACTAAGGCCCATGCTGAATAACACACGCTACGATATGATTTCAAGGATACCACTCTGTGTCGTAATGGCCAATACGTGGCGAAAACTCTCTCACCGGAGATGAAAGCTGCAAAAATAATTGAGGCTTGCGAGTAAAAGATGGTGGAAACGCCACGAAAAATTGTGAAAGTGCTTGTCATTTCCTCTTGCCTTTGCTCATACGTTTTCCAGACCACTGAGTAAATAAAGACAGGAAGAGATACAGCTCCTAACATCAGATCAGCGCTGGCCATGTTAATGAGAAGAACGAAGTGTTTTTTCTGAAGTCTTTTATTGATGGTAAAGAGAGCAATAGTAAGAAGATTTCCCGTAATAATGATGGCAGATGAAACTGTAAAGGCACAACACCACACAATGGCTTCTCGTTTAGACAGAACAGTGTTTAATGGCGCAAGTGCCGACGATGCGTTGTTCGAAAGGTTTTTCATTTCTGATTTTTCGCCGGTTTTCACGAAATTCGCTCCATACTTCAGTGAACCAGCTCTGTGGTCGCCTGTTATGACTTGATCACGTAGCGGAAGACTTAACGAACACGTATAATGATGGAATATGGAAGTCTGTTGGTTGACTCAAATGCAGTATCTATTACTGTTGACAGAACTAACTACACAGTACTGTGTAGTATAAATGAACCACTCCATAAGTACATTGCATTAATTTGCTAAATTTCGCTGATACGCTTCCGAGTTAAGATTAAACCTGATTATCAGAAAGATATGGAATGGGAACCGTTTACCATAACTTACCCTAAGATTGACAAGATATATACAATTTCGTTAAATTAAAAATTCGCAATTACAATATTTGTTTTGTCCTAATTTTCTGTGGAACTGAAGGATGTCTTAATTGCTAATACTTATCGACAAGCTTCTGTTTGGCCAGATCTCCAAACAAATCCGTCAGTTTGACATTTTTGCTGTCCATATCAGCTAATTTGTGCAAATTAAAGACTTAGATATCCTGTTTGGAGTCCTTTAAGCTTAGATCCGTTAAGGTGATTTGCGTTTTAATCGTTAAAGAGGATGATGTTTAGTCCCACGAAACTGTTTCAAGTGGTTTTTTTCAACAGGATAAAAACTGATCCATGTAATGTTAGTTCAAAACTTGGTTCAATGTCATTATCTGAGCAATTGCGCACTCACTCCTCCCCTAACCCAACAATAGTCAACTGATAACAACTGAGGTTTGATATTGGCTTGGGAGAAGGGGGAAGGTGTGCAGTTACTCAGATGATAACATTGATCCCAAAATTTGATCAAATATTCTTGGTTTCCTATACCCTTTCATTCTAGCCTGCGTGTAGCCGTACCATCCCTCCAAAGAAGTATTTTCCGTTTCTCCTTGGCGGGGGGAAGGTAAGGCTTTACGTAGGCTCTTCATTAAAAACAAGATGGCGGTTCGAATCCTAGCGTTTGGTAATAGTTTGACGGAAGGTTGGTGCGAATTTGGGACTAGATTCCATCCTTATACCCTTAAACTGCAAAATCTTATAGAATCCGAGTGCAAGACAGAATCTATTGATATTGTAAACAGGGGCGTGAGCGGTGAAACCATTGACGAAATGAACGCTCGACTTCCTGAGGTTTTGGACGAGGGTGGCCCGTTCGACATAGTGATCATCCTGGGAGGCACAAACGACCTTGGCATGCGTCTTGATGAGAACGGAGAGCCTTTATTCAGTCGTTTGAGATCGCTGCACGAGCTAGCTCTTCGACATTCTCCTCTATCAGTGGCTGTGACTGTCCCGGAAACCGGTTACGAAACTATGGATGGGTACACTGTCGTCAGAGAGAAACGATTGCAAGTGAACGCGCTTTTAAAGAATTTTGTACAACAATGTGGAAGTAAAATGCTTGTCTCCGACCTGGCTACAAAGTTACCGCGGGAATCGCTGAGTGATGAGGATCGTAGAACACTTTGGGCAGATCATCTTCATTTTTCTCCTGCGGGATACGACAGAATGGGTGAAATAATATTTGAGGATATAAGGCATTGCCTTTCTAAAACTTTGAACGCATGAAAGAGATTTCATGGAAAAGCTAAGGGCTTTAACCCTTCAACTCCCAGATCAAATTTGTCATTCTCCTTACTGTCAGCCATACAATTCTTATTATGTTAGGTCAGAGAATTTAGTATTGGATCAACTAATTATCCCTAAATTGATATTTTTCTTTATTCTCATCACTTGTTTGGTCGATATTGTATTGATATTTTAAGAAGAAATTCTCTCTTGATCACACACGGGAGTTAAAGGGTTAATAAGTTCATAATAGCTTTTAGGCCTTTCCTTCCATAATAGGCCTTTTGATTTTTGAATATCAGCTGGCTGTGTAGAGCAAGGAAAATTTAGGAAGGGGAGAGGGGTCAGTGGGCCTCTCTCAGAGTGGCCAGGGGAAAGTTAGACAGATGGGCATAATTCACTTGATGCTAGAAAAAGATATCCTGTGTGATACTAGGAAGGATCAAACTTGTTTCAGACAACTTATTCTACCATAAGGTTTATAATATAACTTAGCTGTGTCCAATTCAGTCTGGTATCATCAAAGTTAATAAAACAAAATTAGGCAAACATGATGCAGGTGTAATGCCAAGTTCTCAGCAACTTTTGAAGAGCCAAAAGGTCACTTGTCAACAACTTGTTGCGTTGAGCTTTGCGTGCGGGAAATATGTAATGATCAAATAAGGCCAGAGATCATGGAAAATCAGCTGTTATTAACCATGATTTATTGAGGATAATCAAATGAAAATTTATATGTAATGCAGTGGATCAACTAATTACTAAATGAAAACAGATACAAGATAACAGAAATCATGAATCAATACCAGCTATAAAATCCTTAAGGCCATAAGATTGCAGGAGATTCAAGGCTACAGAAAACAAAATGGAACCTTTGAAAAACTGGGTGCTGCCACATGGAGCCATGTACTTGACTTGTAATGATACTTTGTAAGTTGGTTGGTTAAAAAATGCAACTTAAGGAACAAAGGCTATAAGCTCAAACTTTTGCTTAAGAATAGGGGTAGAAATAGCCAGTACTTACATATCAGTTCCTGCTTGTACTCTTAATAGCTAATAGCTATTAATAGCTTAAACTTAATTTACCAAAAAAAACTTATGCTAACTCTGTAAAGCTGAAACTAGAACCACTGAGAGAAGGCTGCTAACAGCATTTATATATATGTCCATGTGTTAAAACTTATGACATAATTGCTAAGTAAACAAAATTGACAAATTGGCTAAGAGGATGAAGTAGAGTCATTGAAATAGAGAAGCCTCTATTTAATATTTATTACAGCAAGAATTTGAGTTTTAATCATTAGTTGTAGTGTGACCTTCAAGAATGTTCTAGAAGTAGCTGTGTCATGCTGTGTCATCCCTGAATCAATATACAAATAGAATCTGTTGTAATGTCATGGAACGTTCTAGATCCTCAACTGTACTATAAAAGCCAAGCTTGTAACTAGATGTAGCAAGTAGTTTAGTTGCTGGTACAGTCAGTCAGATAACAATAAAGGTGTATGCAGCAGAATACAAGATGTCCATACTTTATAGTCTGATGACAGAAAGAATTAAACAACACAAAGGCCTGTTACTAATTTATCCAAACTGTTGTTGGGACATAATTAGAGAAGAAAAAAGTAAATTGTCTTATACACAATCTAATTAGAAGATTGACATCTACACAGTCCTACAAGTGCTCAAATTGGGTTGCTGAAAACCAATCACAAGCAAGAATTTTGTATAAATTTTGACTAATAGTGAAACAATATCTGGCTGCACTACCCATGGCACAGTTTAACTTTTCTTTTTGTTCTAACCCCTATACCTCCTGTGCATTCATTGTGTTCTTTTACCTACTAATCTACAAAGCCACATGTAAGAGGTTAGGTAAGTTTTCATTATCATTATTTCTTGTTTTTCACATCCCCAATGACTGGGGACTTACTGTTAAATCACATATTATCCACCTGGTTGATAATTTTCTTACTTCTCATCACCTTTCTGCTGATTACTGTTTTGACATTGTAAGGAGAAATTCATTCTTGGTCAATTATGGAGGTGAAAGGTTGATTTTATTTGATCAGTGGCTGATAAGTGAATTCCCAGAAAGAAAATCCTGAAAACAAAATTCAGGCCCTAACAGAGCTAGGATATTTTCTCCCAGGTGAGTGCTGCTACCAATGTTGGGTATGAAGGGTTTAAAGACTGAAAAACTCAAAGATTCAATTTTTTGAAAATAAAGCACAGGCCAACAGGATAAACTTAAGGATGATAGTTTTAAAAGCCACCAGCCACAGGTCAGTTACTTGCAAAATTTTACTGCAGCTGTAAGTTTTTTGAAATATTCCATGTGATACAATTGGTTACATATCTGAAACATTACAAAATTTTTAGAAATGAAAGAACATTTTTTTTTGTTTGTAAAGAATTGAAGTTAATGACTTTTTGCTTAATTTTTTAGTACTCAACCAGCAGTAACAACTCATGATATTATTAAGCTTTAGAATGTGGTATAATGACAGGTATGATTACATTTTGTTCAAGTGCTAAAAATCAGCCTTCTTGACTTCTTTTTTGTAAGTAAAAATTCTATTGTTTTTAAACCTGTTGTAGAGGCCAGAAAGGCTAATTAACATCAAATTTTTAAGAATGTTAATTAAGCATGCCAGTTATGAAAGAGGTCTATTAAGAGTAAGAACCATATGAAGGTCACAAACCCACTGAAAATTCAGAAAAATATTAAGTTTTAATAAGCAAGTAAAATGAGCACAAAAATTAGAGTATCTGAAAATAGTCTTGAGATCAAACTTGAGGGGGAGGATCTGAATCTCTCCCTCCCCCCCTTTCCTATTTTCCTACAGTTCTTAAATTTTGTCAGAGACTGTGGCACTGAATTGCTGTCCTAAGGGGAAGCAGGGCAAGGAGTGCTGGGTTGTTTATGTTTTTTCTATGGGTGTCTAACCCTAATCTTTATCTCCATAGAAACACTGGTTGAAGATAATATATTGAAAAGGAGAGTTATGGTGTAATCTCATGAAAAAAAAATTACTTAAAGCACCTATTTCAATGCGCGATCATTCTGCACAGAATGTTTCTTTAAGCTCTTTTGACATCATGAAAAACATTTGGCCAAATCCACATTATACCCCTTTGAATACAGACTTGTAAGTAAACAACATCACTTTTCATGCATAAGTTGCTCTTACTTGTTCCTTGCATTTCTCTACCAATGGGTATGGACAATAACCAATATTGAATTGATGTGAAATAATCTTTTCTGGGTCTGACGATGACTTTCACTAAGGTTTTCAAAACTACAGTCACCACTCCTGACAACAGCCCTCATCAGGACTACCTTCACCAAGACAGTCAGAATAAATAATCAAATCTTTCTTGGTTCTTCAAATTCATTCAAGTATATTTAACCCTTCAACTCTCATGAGTGACCCAGCTTACAATAACAATCCAATATCCAGTAGACAAGTGACAAGAAAATAGAAAAATACCAATTAGGGGGAGTATTAGTTAATCAAGTAGCAAGTTCTATGAGCTAACATCATAAAAATTGTAAGGCAGACAGCAAGCTGAATTACATGTGCTAACGAGATCTTGGAAGTAACAGGGTTAAAACCATTTTTCCCAAAATACTATTGGAAAGGGGAGAAAGACAGTCATAAAGTTCTCAGTCAGGATTCTGGTGGCACAGGAGATGGAGTCTGGCCGGGTGTAGCAGATGTTGGCCTGACTTTGGGTCTTGGAGCTCGGCTTAGTACTGCAGAGATTTCAGCTCTTTCATCGTAACTCTTATACAGTTCATACAGCTGCAAGATTTCCTGTGTGATTTCCAGTACTTTGTCCATATCAACAGATAGCTCCGCAAACCACTGCTTGGAATCTTTCTGTTGAATGACACATGCCATATAAATGGCAGCCAATGCAATCTGGTAAGGGGGATAGATGAGAGAGACATCTGTTCGCAAACTATCATTCAAAATGCGCCATGCAATTGGCAGGATTGCATCTTCCATCCCAAGATCAGCAACATACTGAGTAAGAGGTCTGTAAGGATGGTACACAATCAAACAACAGTCCATCATCTCAAGCAAGAAAAATTCACACTCAAGAACCTGCAAGCAAACAAATGAAATCAGTAAAGAGATTCTGCTTGACCAAATTACATTTCCAATCTCTGGAAGATATATATGTCATTTCCTGGGTGGGAGGTTTGTATACTGAAAAAACTGTGCCTGAGGTCTTGGGTAGAACCTAAGGCTTATTGCCATACTAGAGACCAAGGTTGCAGTTTTTCCCCATGTGGATTGACCTAGTCCAGGGAATAACTTATTTTATTCTTTCCTATTTTCTTTTTCCTGCATTACCAGGAATGGCATGGAAACAATTACAGACCCCAGTTTATACTGTGATAAGTTGGACTGGTTATGGGCACCACTATCTGATTTGGGATTTAACATTCTGGCTCCCAGAGATGCTTCAGGAAAAAGTTTTAACAGATGAAACATTTTTAAAAGGAAAACAAAGATAAGGATATCAAGTATTTTTAAGGGAAGTGGGAACACTTTTCAAGTAACAAATTTTACAGTATAAATAATGGTCTTTGCATATTATGCCTCTTGTAAAACTGCCAAATGCAACCCCTCTTGCCCAAATGTTTCTCAATTTACAGTTTTAAGAAAAAAAAATTACTAAAGAGGTTATCTCTTTTGCTTTTACTCTTGTTGCTAAACTTATTCCTCTCGTATATCTACTTATAAGTCCACCATGTTTTTGTTTCAAAAACAAAACAGGAGTTAGGGTGGGTTTTGGATGATATCCACACCAATGTGTTTCCTTACTTGTTGTCCACAACTAGTGAATTTGACATTAGTCACTCCCACTGTAACAGCCACATACATGAACTGTTTAAACAGATTAGATCGATGAATATTATCATCATTTTGTTGGGCATTAGGGCAGATTTTGCAGGCTACAATGGATATTTTAGCAGGCTACAATGTATTGTATCTACCTTGTATGCTTGTATTATTGTTCAGATTGTTTTGTGCCATTTTTTCAGTTTATTTTCTCAATGCTCCCCAGAGTGATGATAACAGAATTTCAGTTAATAACCCTTTAACTCCCACGATCTGATTTTTTATTCTCCCCTCTAGCTGCAACACATTTCCTTGTTAATAAGTTATAAGAATTTGGTGCTAGATCAAGATAACAACTTCTAGTTGATAAGTTTGGATGATGTTTAGATACTATAGGAGGAAATTACATGTTAATCACTTCTGGGAGTTAAAGGGTTATTATTCTTGGACATAAATATGTTTTGGGGCCCTCTTAGAGCCATTTTAACTGCTGAAATGACTCTAAGTTAGATCCATAACATGTTCATGCCTGCAAACGTTCTTCTTTGCCTTTCCTTGCAGCTTGTTGATAAATGGTGACTTCTTTCACAATAAAACTTAAATGTCTTTTACTGATAAATGATCTGTTCTCGGAATATGAGATAGCACTCAATGTTACTTCTTGCTGAAAAATACGTAAATAAACCTATCTTATGTACTTTATTAAACCAATATATATAGTGGGTATAGATTATCTAGTATTCGGTGTAGTTCAATAAGCATCTTTTCATGCAGGGATGATTGATAGGATTGTTTGTGCCTAAACTTAAAAAGTGAAGCATACACGAAGTTACAGCTCATCAAGATGGAAAGATAAGATGAAAACATACTCTACCTGCGTCATCCTGTACGGAAACTGATCCCCAGGAAAAGCGAAGGAGAATTTGTTCTTCACAACGGCGTTACAAGCTGCATTGAAACGACTGTTAGATATCACACCACACTCCTCCGTCTTGTGAGCTAAGTACATGCACGTCGGAGCCATAAGAAGCGGATCAATACTCTTCAAAGAATTTCTGGCATAAAATCTTTTGTAGTACAAAGAGGCAGTTGCAATTACTTGTTGTCGTAGCTTCAAATGTTCGCCTAAAGCTTGCATAAAGTTGATAAAAAAGATTTGTATCTTCTTGTAGTCGTCATCTTTAAGGTTTTGGTAGTCTCGTTGCCTTTCTAGTTCGATTTCTTCACGATCAAGGAGCCATTGATTGCAGTGCGAAGAAAGCCAAAAGTTCGCCGCCATTTTGGATGAAAT